GTGTAGTCAGAGTAGGGATGATGGCTGTACTAAGCGGGTGGAGACTTGTCACCAGAATAAAGACATTGTAGAAATGCTGGTCTCCAGATTATAGCCCAATGAAGAGACCCCTTTAAGCCTCAAGTGGCGGCTAAAAATATATATACATATATATGTGTATGTATGTATATATATATATATATGCATGTATATATGTATATGTGTGTGTATATATATATATACACATGTCTGTATGTATGTGTATGTGTATATACACACATGTCTATATGTATGTGTATGTATGTGTATATATAATATATGTATGTATGTGTGTATATGGATGGATACATGGATGGAAGAGACCTTTATCGGAGACAATTTGCTTCCCTTCTCATCCTAGCTTTATTGGATTTGTTTGCATAAAACCATATAATTTTATGTAATCAAAATGATCCACTTTATCTTGTGATCATCTCTATCCCTTGTTTAGTCATGAACTTTTCTCTTATTGGTGCATCTGATAGGTAATTTTCTTCTAATTTGTTTCTCTAATCTGCTTATGATGTGACCTGTTATATCTAAGTTCTATATCCATTTGGAACTTATCGTGGTATAAAGGATGAAATGTTGATCTAAATCTAACTTCTTCCATACTGCTGTTCAGTTTTTCCAGGAGTTTTTTTTGTCAGATAGAGAGTCTTTATTCCAGTATTTGGGAACTTTGTATTTATCAAGTACTAGGATACTATATAGAGCAGCTAGATGATGCACTGAGTAGAGCACCAGACCTAGAGTCTGTGTGACCCTGGGCAAGTCACTTAATTCTGTTTACCTTAGTTTCCTCAAAATGAGCTGGAGAAGGAAATGGCAAAACACTCCAGTATCTATGAAAAAAAGTCTAAATGGGGTTCCAAAGAGTCAGACCCAACGAAATGAGTGAACAGCAATGACAAGGTATTAGATACATTTGCTTGAGTGTCTACTTTGGCTCTTTGCTTGGTACTGGAGAAATTAAGGCTGAGCCTTACTCCCCTCTGCCTTGGTCTTCTTTTTTTCTTTCTTTGTTTTTTTTTTTAAGTGAGGCAATTGGGGTTAAGTGACTTGCCCAGGGTCACACAATTAGTAAGTGTCAAGTGTCTGGTCTGAGACCAGATTTGAACTCAGGGCTTCCTGACTCCAGGGCTGGTGTTCTATTCACTGTGCAACCTAGCTGCTCCTGCCTTGGTCTTTTGAGGATTGGTGTTCAGTCTCTGAACTCCAGCTCTCATGACTAGGTAACCACTACTTAGCTCCAACTATCTTTTGTCTTCTGCCAGTTAATCCTGAAGCCATATTCTGCCTACCTGTGTAGACTTCTGTCTATTACAACACAGGCGTCAAATATGCAACCATGTTGTCCACTACACTCCTGAGTGTGGCTGACCAAAATTGAAATGTAATTGGAAACTATTTAACAAAATAAAAGTATACTATAGATGATATTAATTTGTGGTTTTAGCATCTAATAAGTTATATTATAGCATGTGATCAGTCTTATATCCAAATAACATATAAGGTAAGCAAATTATAGGACCTCTTGATAGTGTTAAATCTGCAGAGATATTTTTATACTTTTATAACCCAGGTGACTCTAGGCATACCACTTTCTTCTCTCCTATAATACTAAGGACTTGACTCTCCTGCTTTCTGCTTTCTGGATTCCTCTTCTTCCAAACCCAGAGGTTTTCAACTTCTCCTCTTCCCTCTATAAATCAAAAACACAGCTCCACCTTTTAGAGTGTAGCACAACTCACAAGCACCAGTGAGAATGTTGGAGGTCTGGGAAATGGACTGAGAAGCACTACCTGTGAGCAAGGTATGGGATGGATCCTTTGAGTCCTACAGAGGAGCATCTCCCATGGGCAAGACTGAGGCTAAATTTTTCATTGCAGACAGGTCTCATAGATCCAAGATAGAAATCTTCTCAGGAAAGGAAAGTACTCTTGCTTTTCTGGAGTAAGATGCAGAACAGGTCTGAGCTGAACATGCATCAGAACTGCTAAAGGGCTGGGAGAGGCATCTAAGCTGCACAAGATGAAGTATCTGATGGAAAGTGTCAGAGGATCTGCTTTTGAATAGGTGCCATCATGGCATGAAACCATGAAATTATACATCAGGAGTGCTTGGAAGTGCTCTGCCACCTGGTGGGTTATATTATTTTCCTTTCTAAAAAAGGTTTATACTCACAGTGACTACAGGGGTATAGACAAGAGTTCAAAATAAATAAGAATTACAAGACATCTTAGCCATTCTTGAGTGGTAAGTGAGGTTAGCTCCCCTATTTCTCAGCTCCCTTTACTGACCCATCTCTTAATTATTCATCTTGAAAATCAATCCTATCCAACCACTCTATAGTGTTCTTTTGGTTCCTGGTGTCCTTAAATTTTCTATCAGTCCTAAGTTGCCATTCCCTTTTCCTTTGCAGATAAGCCCTAAAGACCTAGGTAAGTTAGTTTACTCTGGATCCCCTCTTCCTCATCTGTAAAATGTGGGTTGGTGGGAGTACAGAATGGACTAGATTACATAGAAATGCACTTTTAGCTCTAGCATTCTAGGATTTGATAAGACCCTAAGGGGGCAACAATGTGTGTGTGTATGTGTGTGTGTGTGTGTGTGTGTGTGTGTGTGTGTGTGTGTGTGTGTGAGTCAGAGAAGAGAGAGAGAGAGAGAGAGAGAGAGAGAGAGATTAGTGTTAGAGTTGGAAAGAATCTTAGAAAATATTTAGCCCAACACTCGCATATATACATATGAAAAAATCAATTCAATTCAACAAATAATTATTAAGAGCTTACCATGTGCAAGATCCTATTCTAGGTGTTGGTGATAGAAAGACAAAATGAAAAATAGCCCCCATCCTCACAGAGCTTACATTCTATATGGGTGGGAATGGTGGGATATAACATTTAAATGGATAAATACATTTTTAAAACTATTACTTGGAAGAGGTTGAGAGCAGAAAACAAAAGGCAGACAGTTGGAGCTAAATAGTAGTTACCTAGTCACAAGAGCTGGAATTCAGAGGCTGAACCCTAATCTTTGAAAGACCAAGGCAGAGGGGAGTAAGGTTCAGCCTTAATTTCTCCAGTACCAAGCAGGAATCAGAAAGGATTTCTTGTAAGTGGTGGACCTAATTTGAGACTTGCAGTAGCCTAAAGATTTGAAGATACAGAGGTGAGGAAGGAATGCATTTGAGGCATAGCAGTCAGCCGGTGCAAAGGCAGGAGCTGGAGTGCTGAGTTCAAGGAATGACAAGTGGGCCAGTTTGATGGGAAGTAGAACTGATGAAGGGAAGTGATGTGAAGTGAGTATGGAAAGGCAGGCTAGAACCAGACTGTGAAGATCTTTAAACACTGAGCGGTACAGTTTCTACTTTAGCCTAGAGATAATAGGGAGCCCCTAAATATGCTCGAGCAGGGTAGTAACATGGTGAGACCTGTGCTTTAGGAAAACTGTTTTGGCAACTGGATGAATTGGAGAGGAGAGAAATTAGAAATGGGAATCTAGTTAGGGGGTTATTGCAATAGTCCAGATGAGAGGTGATGAGAGCATGAGCCTTGAGTAGAGATTGTGGAGAGGGCTGTATGAGTGGAGAGAAGCATGAATGTATGAATACATGCATATATGTATATGTATACATACATATGCTCATATATAGGGATGGACATTGGATTTGTGATTTCATTAGTACTGTATAGGGAACTCCCAAGTGAGGATACCTCTTCTGCTGATGCAGTTTGCGCCTTCTCCACATATAACCTGAGGGAGTTGCATAGATGACTGAGCTGCTAAATGACTTGCCCAGCCACTATAAGCACAGCCAGTAAGAATCAGAGGCAGGATTTGACACCAAGTCTTCTTGGCTCTGAAGCCAACTCTCCGTCCATTATTCCATACTAACTTCCCTGATCATGTATACAGTTCCTATATATCACTATTTCTTTGTAAGTGCTGCTAGGTGGTGCAGTAGATAGAACACTTGTCCTGGAGTCAGGAAGACCTGAGTTCAGATGTGTCTTCAGACACTAGCTGTGTGACCCTGGGCAAGTCACTTAACCCTGTGTGCCTCAGTTTCCTCATCTGTAAAATGAGCTGGAGAAAGAAATGGCAAACCACTCTAATATCTTTGCCAAGAAACCTCAGATGGGGTCATAGAGAGTCAGACATAACTGAACAACAACAACAAATTTCTTTGTAATCTTTTAAGTGATACAGAGCTATATCCTTGGCAAGTCTGTAGACCAGTATGTGTTTTCCAAAGTCCTGATTATGCAGAATGTATTACTTCAGTTCTGCCGTAAATGCCCATCATAGAGCTGATGGAAGATGACGAGGGCAGCAATTATGCTTTAGCCTCTCTGTCACTGCCTTGTCCCCCTTTTCAGGAAATCTATGAAAGGTTTCATTTTAGGTCTTAAACTAGGAATAACATTTCTCAATTCTGCATGGTGTTATAAAAATTATTATTAATGGAAAAATCTGTTAGTTAATGCATCCCACAGCACACTCTGTTCTAGAAACCAAGCACTAGCATGCATTTCAATCATGCGTTGTATATAATATTTCATATGTAAGACTACATTTCCATATGGGCAGAACAAAACAATTTTTAAATGTTTTTTTAAAAATCCTTTAAAAAAATCCAATATTGAGGGAAAAGGACTCAAGAAGTGTTGGCTGAACCACAATTTCTGATCCTAGCCAAGAAACTGACTTTAGCAGAGCACAGGAATAAATGATGTTCCTTTAATCACTGCATAAAGAACTTTTAGGTGACAGTCACATCTCCTTCTTTAAGCACTAATTCTAATAGCTTAAAAATTTTAACAGGACTGGGAAATAGATCATTAAAGTATGCACAGTGGATTGGGAAGCAAGGTACCATGCTTCTCAATTACCTCTGTCTAAAAAACCAAGTTTTATCAATGTCTTGGGCTGGAATTTTTTGGTCACAAGAATTTTTATCTTTCCCCTTTATCCTCCAGAAATGAACCTTCCTTAGTGACAAGGAAAAATTGTTAAGTGAAAACAACTCTCACGGTGAGTATATCTAGCAATATATGCAACATTCTGCCCTCTTAAGAAGTCCTTCCTCTGGGCAGTGGGAGGTGGGTTGTATTATCTATCTTCCAGGACCATTGTTACTTTTTTAATTATCCAGGTTCAGCTTCCCTTTACTACTCTTAGATTTTGCATTGTTGTAATTACATATTATTCTTTTGGTCCTGCTGATTTTATTCTTCATCAGTTCATCCTAATCTTCTCATGTTTTTTCTACATTCCTCATATTCCTCATTTCTTTTTTTAAAATTTTTTTAAATTTTTAGGCAATTTGGGGTTAAGTGACTTGCCCAGGGTCACACAGCTACTGTCAAGTGTTTGGTCTGAGGCTGGATTTGAACTCAGGTCCTCCTGACTTCAGGGCTGGTGCTCTATCCACTGTGCCACCTAGCTGCCCCCATCATTTCTTACTATACAATTAATGGACCAATTTTTTTTTTTAGCTGTACTCCAATTGGTGTTCATCCATATTGTTTCCAGTTCCAGTTCCAGCTCTGCAAGAAGTGCCGCTATCAACATTTTAGTGTAAATTGATACTTGTTTCTGTCTTTTTTTTTTTCTTGCTTTTTGGTGAGGCAATTAGGGTGAAAGCGACTTGTGTCAAGTGTCTAAGGCCAGATTTGAACTCAGGTCCTCCTGACTCCAAAGCTGGAGCTCTATCCACTGCATCACCTAGCTGACCCTGTTCCTGTCTTTAACCTCCTTGTGGTATATAGTTAGCTCCTATTCACACGTTTTCAGGCTTTTAACAATAGGCTCAAATGCTGGAATATAACTTAGATGCCAAACAGTTCAACCCCATCATTTTACAGATAAGGAAATTGAAGGCCGGAGAGGCAAAATGACTTCCCCAAGGTAACACAGATAGTAAAAAGCAAACTCAGAACTTGAACCCAAATCATCTGACTGAAAAATCAAACTTGTTTTCTATTATATCATGCGTCTCCCTTCTCCCTAAATGTTCAGGTGCCCATGTCTATCAACACACCACTATCGAAACTCTCTACTCCTAAGTTGTTTTCTTCTTTAGGTATATTCCTATCCCTTGGGACTAGATCACAATATCATAAACGATTATATTATCAGAGAAACGATTCAATTTCCTAATCATTGATTAAGAGCCTGTTATGTGCAATATTATTGTTACTGGCCCCGAGGACACAAAAATAAAAAACAAAGCAGTCCTATATCGAGAAAAACCAGTTCTTAACTGGTTAATGGAACTATGTGTTTGTACTCTGGGTTTGCATGCAAGAAGTTAGATTTGGCATGAAAGATAGATAGTGTCAGCTTTGCTTTACATCTAAGAGAGTATTGGGGAAAAACCAGATGTGCCTCAGATTACCTTAGTGGTTTATTATTCAAGTTCTAATCCTGTTTGGTGGCAAAGTATTTCTCAAAGTGCACACGGAGATAAGGTCTTTCTCAAAGGATACTATTGGACTGACAGTTAGGATTTGCTTTTTGAAGGTGATTGTAAATTAAACTAATTAGTGAGGCAGCTTCTCATTTTCCTACACCAAAGGCCAGATCTACAAAAGCTAAGAAAATGGAGGCAAATATTCAGATGACTAGGGCTAATCTCTTTCACTCATCTTCCTTCCTTTTCCCCACTCCTCTTAATCTATACTCTTTTGCCTTAGTATCTGGAAATTTCAGGAAAAAGCCATTTTTACTTGACCCACTGACTTTCTCTTTTTTTCTTCATTTTCAAAATTTTATTTTCTATTATTTTCAACCTAGTGCTATCATTAATCTGTGCTAGTTCTTACTTCACTCCCTAAACTGTTTCCCTCTCTTGATCTTCCTTTCTATATCCACCTTCCTGCTATTCATCCAGGTTCAAAATTTAAAATTATTTTTATTCTTCCCTTCTCTTAATCTCATAAGCAAGTCCTGCAGATTCTGTCTTTAAAAAGTCATTTAACTTCCATCCATTTGACATTTCAAACTAGGTATCTCAAGTTCAATCTGCCCCAGACATAATTCATCACCTTTGCACAAAACCATTTTCTCTTCCAAAGTTCTCTCCCACTGTTCAGGGGACTACTCTTGTTCCAGTAACCTAGATTCTCAACCTTGGAGTTATGCTCAGCTCTTCATTCTGACCTACACTATATTCCTAACTAGTTACCAAATTGTGTTTTTTTATACCTCCATAACTTCTTTTTACTATCCACTTCTCTCCACTGACACTGGCCACTGCCCTAGTTCACCTTATCACCTCTTTTCTGGATTATTGTAATAGTACTCTAATCAGTCTCTCTATGTCAAAACTCTCTCCTCCATTTGAATCTATCTTCCACACAGCTGATGACATGATTTTCTTTTCTTCAAAATTAATTAATTTATTTTTAGTTTTAAACATTCACTTTCATAGCTTTTGAGTTTTAAATTTTCTCCCCCTTCCTTCCCAAGATGGCATGCAATCTAATATAGGCTCTACATATACATTCCTATTAAACATATTTTCACATTAACAACATGACTTCCTTAAAGCACAGGTATGGCCTTGTCACTCTTACTCAATAAACTCCAATGGCTTTCTATTGCCTTTAGGATCAAATATGATTTCCTTGAATTGGCTTTTAAAACCCTTTACAACCTGGCCCCAATGTTGAAACATATTACTCCTGTTCTTGAACTTCAGAGTGCAGTCCAGCTTCTCTTTATGTTACACATACACTCAAATGCATGCATATATACACATATGCATGTATATACACACGTATGCATGCGTACATACACATATGCATGCATATATACACACACAAACACACACACACACATTTGGAATGATTATGCAAAACAATAAGCAGCTAGGTGGTGCAGTGGATAGAACACTGGGCCTGGAGTCAGGATGGCCTAAATTCAAATATGACCTCTGATACTTACCAGCTGTGTGACCCTGGACAAGTCACTTCACCCTGTTTGCCCCAATTTCCTCATCTGTAAAATGAGCTGGAGAAGGAAATGGCAAATCATTCTAGTATCTTTGCCAATAAAACCCCAAATGGGGTCACGATGAGTCAGAGACAACTGAAATGACTAAACGATGCAAAACAATGTTTATTGGAAAAGAGGATATATTCCCAAGACAAATTTCATTGCCAGAAATTTTATTACTTAAGGTATAAATAAATCATGGGCAAAGGCATACATCCCCCAATATGGATGCTTTCTGTACCACCAGGTGGGTTGTAACAGCTTGGTTACTTTGGCCCACCCAGAGATTATTCCCTTCCTCAGTGATAAGGAGGCCGCACATGGTTATAACCTAAAAGCATCTACTCAACTCCTACCTGACAAGGCTGTATGGGCACAAGGGGTCCATGACACACAAGGAGATTAATAACCTGCCTTAGATGGAGTACCACCTGCAATCTCCCTCCAGAATCCCTGTCTGCTCTTTTGGATCCTGTGCTGAGGAGACCAGCATTCCCCCCCCCCCCAGTAGACTCTTGCTCTAGGCTCACCTTATAAGAAGGGACTTTGTTCCCAGAGGATTTGTTAAGCTGGTTAGCATTATATTGCTTTGTACCAATTGTCGAGCTTCTATGTTTGTATGTATGCGTGCATATATGTATATATATACACAAACATATATGCAATATATATTATAAACATGTCTTGTCTTCTTTATTAGACTCTAAGCTTCTTGAGGGGAGGGTCCCTGTCATAAGAATTTGTCTTCTTGGCTGTGGCTACTGCCAAAGCCCTGCACAGGGAAATACTTGTTGATTTGATTTGGTTTGAAAGAAATGAAAGGAACTTAGGAGTTAATGGAGTAGACAAACATTAGCACTACTAGTAGAAGCAATAGCAAATTTAGTTAATGGGTAACAGGAGGCAAACTGGAAAACCTTAAAGGACTAGAGGTATTTATAAAGATAATTTGAAATAAAAACATCTCCATTTTTGCCTCAGTTATCCACTTATATCTTTAGCATGATTCATCTGTGGACCTGCCTGTATCCTCAATGTCACTTTGCATATGGCCACTAAAGGAAAACCTGACCCTTTCAGAGTGCTTGGTTACATGGATTACATTCATTAATTAATTCGCTTTAACAATTTGTATATGCAAATACCAGCCCAATCTGCTAGAGAGAAGAAGGAAGGTATAAGGCCTCAGTAGAAAATAATGTTGCGTTAATATAACAAAACACGAAATCTGAAAAGGCTATGAAGATGGCATTTAACTGACCAAAGATTTTTGCCTTCTTCATGGAATCACACAATGCTATAACTGGAAGAGACTATTAAGACCACTTGGTCCAACCTATTCATTTTTACAAGTGAGAAAGCTCAGTAACTAATACCATGTTCCATATGAAGTTAGTTGAAGGGTCTGGATGAGAACGCATGTGTCTGACCTCTTAGTATAGTGCTCTACCACATCATACATTGGCTGTCCATGTGGACAGATGAGCTGTATAGTGGCCATTTTTACAATGACAGGCTCCTTTAATTCTATGGAATGCAGAAGAACGTGGAGTACCCAGCAGGGTTAGCCTCAGCAGTCCTGCTTCTGTCCTTCCTCTGTTTCCTTTCTTGGCTCGTGGTCTGACTCAGCTGTCCTTGCCTCGCTGCCAGGCTGCTACTCTATCTTTGCTGCTTTGCTCTCCTCCCGGCTTGTCTTTCAACGACCTCTTCTTGGTCCCCTCCCACAGTTTCTCTTTTTCCATTTCCTACCATCTGGAGCAAGCTACTGCATCTCTTCCCCTTATCAATTCTCCATGTTCTATTTTTGATGCTTTCAGAGACGCATGGATTCTCTTTTGCCTCCCTAGGTTTCTTTCTGTCCTTCTTTCTCCTGCTATGTATTTTATTGAAATTTTGTAAACCATCTTTAAGGCTTAGGAGTTTGACTTGGGGAGAAAGGCGGCTCAGTATAGTCAAAAGAGAGGAGATTCTGGGGCATGGGGGTGTAGCACAGTGATATCAAACTCAATTAGAAATAAGGGCTGCTAATCCATA